AGGTTCTTCAACTTCATCATCATCATGAGTTACAAATGCATCACCTACCATATCATGAACCCTATCACAATCTACCATTTGTTCCTCTTGGTGATGATAGCTATTTTCATTACGCAAATGATCAACCGGTTCAACCTGAAAATTGCTATTACTACTGCTACCTTCATTCCTACAACTAGCATCTTCTCCATGTTGATACTAAATATAATAATATGGCATGAAACCTCTATTTATTAAATGCTTCCAAACATTTTCACGAGGGCCTAATTTGGTATTGCAGCATTTCCGACAAGGACAGAACATCTTACCACTTTCCTGCGTGAGTGGTGTAGAATCTGCTTGATGCATAAACGTCTCCAACCCTTCCAGAAATTCTTTTGTCACCCTCCCATTATTATCTCTGTGTGAATACATCCACTCCCGCAACTCGAAAATATTTCCCGGACCGGACATTTTTTTTTTGTGTGTTTCAAATGAATCACAAATGGTGGTATTTACAGAAATTTTTGAATCTGAATATTTACTAGGAAATTGCTAGGATATGTAGGTACAAAACACGTTTTTGATTTAAATTCGATATTTTCTATCCAGTTCCTCCTAATTTCGTAGTAACAAATCCATTCCTCCTAATTTCGTAGTAAGGTTTTACTAGGACTTTACGAGGAAAGTTATTACTACGAGTTTACGAGGAAATGGAATTTTTCACGTAATTTCCTCGTAAGGTTACTACGGTCTTACGAGGAAAATTGTTTCTCGTACATGTACATAATAAATTTACGAGGAATTATTTTCCTAGTAAAATTTCCTAGTAATTTTTTAGTTTTCTTGTAGTGTTGAACATATATTTTCTATTAGAAAAATTAAGTGAATTATCTGATTTGTAATTTCTCAATGATTTAGATAATTTTGATTATTTTTCATATTTTAAATAATTTCATATAAAATTTATTATAAAATAAAAATGAATTTCTATTAAAAAAATATATTTTGAGAAAATAAGATACTTCTTATGTATTATATTGTTATCATGAAAAACTATTTTTATTATAGAAATAAAAAATTAAGATAGAAAAAATTATAATTAAAATAAATTAAAGCAACACATTTGTAAAAATATATTTTTAAAAATATTTTGTTATGTGAGTGTTGTCATTTATAATTAATTTTTAAACATAAATCATATTATAATGGTTTGAATTAGTAAAATATAGACTAATAATAAATTGTACGAAAATTATGCCCGCCTGTGTGGGTAAAACACCTAGTTGATTGTAAAAGTTATGTAGAGTATGACAATACATATATCTTGATTTATAAAATTTGGTCATAACTTCTTTAGATTGCTACAGATTATCATGAATTTATATTTTCCTTTTGTATCATTCCTTTTGTAAAGTAAATATATGATTTATATTCTTCTAAAGTGTTCTGGAAATATTTTTCTTTCAATAACAATGATTATTTGTTTTTTCTGAAAAATATGTTTGTTTGTTAAAAAATAATACAAGAAAGATACATATAAATTATGTTAATATGATAAAATGAATATTATATTAACAAATTATAACTATATTATATGTTTGTTTAACAATTCATATATTATTTTAAATTTTTATTTATTGATAAAAATAGAAATAAAAATAAAAAAATATAATTAATATATTCAAAAAAATAAGTGTATAAAATGTAATGAATTATAATTTTAATTGAATGTGCAATAGATATCTGGTAAGAATAATTATTATATTTTCACATTTTTATCACATGGATTTTGAAAATCTCATGGATACACATAATATTTTGAAAGTTTTGTGTATGAGTAAAAATGTAAATAATTCTTCTCCCAATAACATTATATTTTGAAAATTCTTAAACCAATAACAATATATTATACTAGATTTCTAAAAGCCATAAACCAATAACAATAGAATTTTAACATTTTCAAAATTGATGAGAATTGTGTTGCCAATAACCCCCCCTTAGTTTATATTCTGATTTAATGCATATTAATTTCTGATGTGCTACTATTAAAAATCTAGTGATACACACACATAAAAATATATATATATATATATATATATATATATTCAAATTTAATGATTATCTGATTTTTCTTAATTTATGGAAAATAAGAATAACATTAAATTTCTCTATTTTTTATTTTTTTAGCTTATTATATAAGTAATTTTTAATATTTGTCAATGTTGATAAAACAATAAGAATGTAAATTATGGATTATTTTTAGCCTTATATATTTCTTGAATTCATGGCTACTATGATTTTTAATATATTTTTCTTTAATCTCAAAATAAAAAGATTCATAATTCTTAAAAATAATTGATAAATATATTCACATAAAGTAATTCTTTGTTAATATTAAACATTATTATTTTTGTATGAAAATAATTTTGCATGCTTTTTGCTACTTTATCCTCATCCTATTTAGTGACATGACATCATCGTGAAGGAAAAAACTTAACTTTATATAATAAGATATTCCTTTATTTACCTTCTATATATATGTATATAGTTGACCAAAAAAATATGTATATAATCATAGGATTAAAGACCTTTACAAATTAAGGTAAAATATGAGGGTTATCAATACACTCAGATTTTAACTCATTAGCAAAACCGATCTATCATGATATCGTCTTTTATGTTAAAATGTAAAAACAGTAGTATGAATTTGGACTTTGTATTAAACCAATATAAAGATAGGTCATATAAAATATTCTTACGACTAAACTCCATGTAAACGTTTAAACACTAGAATGCAAATCACTAAGAGTTTAATGATTGCTTATTTCAAAAGAAGCCTTAAGAAACTCTCAGTTAGATAAAGCCTCTTCTTTCACTGAAGGGAAACAATTCGATCTTATGAAGCCACCATCAATCGAACTCCGCTCTTCTTCTTTTTCACCATTAAAACCGATTGCTTCAAAGATCATAGTGATAACTTCTTTGAACCTCTCTTCTGATAAAGAGACTTCAGCAAGTAGACTCCATGCCTTCTCCTCAGAAGCTCCTTCGTAATCTTCTTTCCTCTTCAACACCATGTGACCACTCATCTCCCAAACCGCTGGATTTACTTGCGTATCCAGCAGCTTCGAGCTAACTTCCCGTAGTGCATGTTTCTCTGCATAACACTGCAAATACAAATACAAAAAAAATCAGGACCAGAGATTCTCAACTGTTTATTCTTCTTCTTACTTTTCTGAGTTCTGACCTGAGGGAGAAGAAAGATCTGTTTCCCGGAATCAGAAATGAGAATGTTGAAAGGAATGTTTTTGTTCTCAAGGCAAACACATGCGTTTGATACAACATCAGAGGGATCTTTTTTGGAAATTCCACCTTCAAAGAGAAGACCTCTCACTGAATAACTCAATAGCTTTGAGATCTTGATGCCTTCATTGGTGGTAGTGATCTTTAAAGAAGGGCCTTTCTCGATAGGTAATATTGGCATTGCCAAGTAGTAAGCCTGTTACAAAGAAAACAACTAAAAATTGGTATTACGTAAACTAAAACTAATTTGGATTAAGATTTTGGTTTACCTGAAAGTGAAGATGGTTGATGGTAGCAAATGCACCTAAACTATTGTATCCAATTCGGAAATATGGATTGCTTTCTTCAACAGCCATGTGAAGAGCAAGCAAAAGGCTTTTGTGATCAATCCTTTGAGGCAAGCAATCTAGAACCTGAGGAATCAGCAATACATGTCCGTACTCAATCGGACTCACCTGTTCAAATTTATTTAAGTTCAATGTTTAGATAACTAGCTAGCAAGAAAAGAAAGAGACCCCTCAAAGCAAAAAGTTCCTTACATTGACTGCAACAACGCTTGGCGAGTTATCAGAGTCATCATTGGTAGCTTCAAACTTGAAAAGCAACTCTTCTTGTGAAAATTGAATTTGTTTGCATCAAATGGTTGAAGAACTTGATCAACACGAAACTCCGTTGGCTTCTTCTTCGTTTAGCTTCGCAATGAAACCGTACTTCCCCGGTATATATAACCTATGATAACCAAATTGCCACTAAACCATCAACAATGTGAAGACAGAAACTTGTAACATAAAGTTTAGAGATAGTGTATACCTTGGTCTCACAAGCTGTAACGAAATAATCCTCTTTGAAACTTATCTTCCCACTAGAAAACATTTAAGTGTCTAACTAATTACACAACCTTCTAACCAGTTAAAGAGTTAAGCTTTGAAATAACAACATTACCTCTCCAAGAAGTAAGGACTCGAGTAACGTTACATTATCTTCCACGGGTTTCTCCACATGCTTGCATGTATACAAAGGAAGCCTTGCACCTGAAGACACAAGTAAACCTCAGAGATTTTTCTAATTAAAAGAATCCTAACAATGTAAAATACCATTGATAAAACACTTGGTTAGACAATTCCGACCACATCCTCCGTCTTCTTCTTCCACCGTCTTGTCTTTCTGGTGAACCCTTTTGATCTTCAACAACATTCTTAAAAAGGACAAAAAAGCCCTCCAGAGATTAACTAACTAAAAAAAGGAAAAGAGGTGAATGGCGAGAGTGCGGTTTCGCCTCCAGCAAGGAAGAGGATATCGGAAGGACTGCCGCCTTCCGACGGCAGAGCTCCTCGACCACCGTGCAGGGAAGGATTAGCTATGGTTAAACAACTCTTCCTTTGGACATGATAGCTCAAAGGCCGTGACTTTATCCCGTATATACCCGTGATGAAATCCCCTGTTACACCCTCCCCGAGGTTTGCCGGAGAAGAAAACAAAATTTCACTAAAATGATGGATTTTTCGATGTGGGTTGTTTCCATCAGTTTTTTGAGGTTCTTAAGCAGAGATGGTAGGTGCAAAAGAGTGAAACCAGACAAGAGAAGCGAGAATCACGTGTTGTGCGTGTAATAGATAGATTTGAAGTTGTGATTGATTGGAACGTGTGTGTGTTTTAAGTGTTCACAGCTTTTTCACTTTCCTCATCTTTTGGGGGTTCTGACCCGACTGTCGCTTTTCGGGTTCAATGGTTAATCAATTTATTGACTTTTACCATTATGTCATCTATTGCTTACTTTCAATTTTATATTTCTCTGTCAAATTATTTGGGATGTAGCTTTTCATAAGCACGTATTTATATTAAAACCTTTAAAATTTTATATTTTACATTATCATCTTTATTATTGATAAAATAAACTAAAATTACAACAACATTCTAGTAAATATAAAATAAATAATAAAAATTCCTTGATAATATCATTCATGAGTTTATTAAATATGAACACAAATAATCCTAAAACTAAATTAAACAATGAATCCAAGAGTTCAAATTTTTTATTGACGAAGTTTTGGTAAGTTTAAGATCATCTTATTTGAATATTAGTTAGAGCACCTATATCTCTGGTGCTTAGGGGATTGCTTATCACCTTTATCCCACAAAAACAACAAGCATCGGAGTTTCAGAGTCCAAATTAAGCGTCGTATTTTTTGAGCATTTGCCCTGTTTTACAGGCTTATTGACACGTGGCAGCCCACGATTAGTCACTTTTGAATTCTTTTTTAATTAGAACAAATAGAAATGAAAAAAAAAAATTCTAAGCACTCCTCTTTTTGATTTCGGGATAAAAGTTCTCTTAGAGCATAAATATCGCAGGCGCTTAATAGGGTTGCTAAGATAATTATGATTTAAAAGAAAATCAAAATTATCTATTAATGCAAAATGCGCTGCTTAATTAAGCGTTACAAGCCTCGGTGCTTATGAGACACGTCGACAAAGCCTTTCTCTCTCTCATCTCTCTTTCTCTCCCCAAAAGAAGAACCGAACTTCTTTTTGATCAAACTGTTGATCTACCACCACCAGAGGAAAAGGATTACGATACGGCTCTGGCTCTTTGACCTGTTCGACTCGGGAGAAGGAGATCCGACAGTTATCAAACTCGCTTTCCTCGTCGGAGGATGATGCTAGGTCTACGGGTACGACGGTGGAGATGCGGTTAGAGCTCTCGAAGAAGTGGTCGTCGACGTCGTCTTCTTCAACTTTGCCTAACCCCACCCAGTTCATTGTCATCGTCTTTCTTCGTTCTGAGTTGTTTCCCGTTCACGCCGTCTCGATTCGCCATAGCTATATGTGAGTTCTGTTTTTACTGTAATTAAGATCATTTGGATTGAAAGATCTCCACCGTAATGAATAGCGTTTATATGCTTAATCTTGAATCAGATGTGTACTTACTTATGATTATTTGTATTGTTAGTGAGAAAGATCGACAATGGTTCATGAATATATTTGTTCTGGTTTCAGATTTTGTCTATTGAAAATTTCAGACAGTCTTGAAACTGTGTTTTGCAGTTTTCCTGATCTCTGTGACCTCCTCAGATCCTCGCAGTAGCTAGAGAAAAAAAATTCAATCAGAGTTATGTAGTTTATCTTGTTGCTTATCTTATTGCTTAAGTTGTCTTGTTCTTGTTCTGTTATGTAGTTTATCTTGTTGCTTAAGTTTCTATAGTCATGGAGTTTCTGTGTAAGTGTAACTTGTTGCATGAATTTCTGTTTAATATATCTGTTTCGTTTGCTAATGTACTCTTCTGTATCTTGTTCTTGTTGTCAGGTGAAAGACTGGAGCATCCAAGTTCTGTTGCATCACGGGTCTCATTTGTATGCATGTGTAGCATCTTGTTTGCTTGTATCACGAGGCTTGTATCAGTGTTATTGTATCACGGACTTGTATAACTAGTCTCATTGTACTATAAAGTTTCATGTCTAGCATTATAAAGTTTCAAGCTTCTCTCTTTCGCTTGTAGCATTATTTCATTTTCTCTCCTTCTCCAAGATATTATCTCATTCTCTCATTCTCACCGAGCAAATCATCACAAAACCAAGCTTTCTCTTGCTAAACACTTTGTCAACCTCATCTAATCACTTTGTCAACCTCGGATGTCCATTTCAAATAATTCTCGATGTTGTTTTGTGTTTTTATTTCCAAATCTATGTTTTCAATGTCATCTTGTAATATGTTTTATATAATGAATAAATTTTATCTAAAATAAAACAATGTTCAATTTTTCTTAAGAACCCCAAAATAAGATATTTGCATTGGAGGATCAAAATTTAGAAGTTTTTTAGCCTTGGTTCTTAAATCACTTTTACAACTAATATTATTAGAAAAAGAATAAGCATCCCTAATTAAGCACTAGGGATATGGTGCTCTTAGACTTTAATATCTTAACTTTGTATACTTCAACTATTTTAAAAAAATGCATTACCAGTTCAAGAAGGACTATTCTTTTTTTGAAAAATATAATTTACTATTATTAATTAATAAAATTACATAAAAGTATCAAACCTACAACTTTTGCAAATATGTTACAAATTTTGTATTTCTAAAACAGATGGAGTAAACTACATGTAAAATATTTAAGTACAACTGTAAGGAGTAAAATGATAAACCAGAAAGTTATTAAATTATTTTTAGAATATAACTATAAGGATTTTATAAATAGGAAACCTCAAATATAAAATTTTGAACATCAAAAGTTTTGTATTTGAGGTTCGATGGGAATTTAATATTTAATATCTTAAGTCTATTTCTTTTTAAAACATTTAGACTTTATATTTGAAACTATACGTTTGCTTTTACAGATGTTCTAAATCATAAAACTTTGTGTATGTCGATCTTGAAACGGACTAACCGAAAATAGACTTTATTAATTTATTTTATATATTTATACTTATAAAATATTATTTATGATATTATTTGGTGTATTATAATTAAAACACACTTGTATAAAACTTATTAAACAACAACAGCGGAACTGGAAACGAGGATGTTCCATTTTATTCGTAGACATTAAAGTAGAAAAATGATCTTTTATATACCCTCAAAACATTATGGGAATCCAAAAATACACACAAACACTTCATTAATTATTAAGTAAATAATTAACTGGACCGACCTTTTTCAATCAGCGTCCATGTAAATAAATCATATCTGTATAATTGTATACTTCAATCAGTTTTTTACGTGAGCAATGACGTGAATGAATGATCGAATCATCACGCGTAGTTACAAAGACCGTAGACGCAGAGCTCGCCTAGTTCGCAACGATGGTTACACTCACCGCAATGACGTTTATCGTAAGCCACGTAAACGCACTGACCGCGACAACATGTTTGCCCGAATTTGCATTTGTTCTTACACGCACCGCAGTTTTTGTCGTCGGTTGATAAATCCATACACTTGTTGTTGCAACAAGCCATTGTAGAGTTTGCCCCGGTGCTGTAATAGCTGCTGCTGCAGATCTCTGGCTCCTTGTGGCAATGGTCAGCTGCATTTGGGTTACGGGCTTTAGGTCCTTGACCTTGGTCTACTTTTTCTGCCAAGAACCGACTCGTTCTGACCTTAACCGCTCCTGGTGGTGTATGGTCCTTGAGAGGATCTTCGAGAGCAAATGTTGCGGTCGAGGTGTTGGTTTTGGTGGTCGTGGTGGTGATGATGGCGATTGTGATTGCCATTGTTAATGCAATTGTCACGAGTAGCTTCATGAATTGCGCCATTTAATTCCTGTTGATGTGCGAGTGTTTGCTAATGAGTGTAGGTAGGTAGTTCTTCGTTTCTTCTTTGTCTCCTTCTTCTTCTTGTGTTGTTTATGTGAATGTAGAGAGAGAAGAGATTTTGAGGGAGAGCGAGAAATTGTGTTGTGAGAAATTGGGAAGAGGGTGGACTTAGGGTTTATAGTTGTGATCGAGACGAGTTGACGCGTGATATGTGGTGAAAAAGGTAAAGAAAGGTTTCGGGACGGGCGTTTGATTATTTTATATATCTTCATTTCACTTGCGTACTATTTTATGGGCATGTACATGCACATGCACATACGCGTTTGTAGTTGAAATTAGGTAGGTTACTTAGAGTAAAAATTATGTACATATGTGAAATTAAAACATATTAATTTCAGGCAAACTATCGGAGTTAAAAATGCATCACTTATGTTGATATGGGAACTAGATAGCATATATTGTATATATAAAATCAATTCATCATCACTTTTAAAAATAAATGAAAAATGTGGGACGAGCAGAACGGGCCTTAATTAAGGGACAATTTTTTTCGTCCCTTGGGCTACGTGGCTGCTTCTCCTTCGCGAAGAAATCGGTGACCGATGGAGTTTCAACTTTCTTTCTTTCTCTCTTCTCTACGAAACTGTAAAGCGACCACGAAGGCGATTTGATGTTGTAATCGATCTCTGGTGGCGAAGATGAAATCTGGTGGCGGAGACTTGATTCCGGAACCGAAAGCTGATCTCCGATGAAGAAGACCTAAAATTCGCCGGCTCGCTTCGTTTCCCACCATCCCTAATCGTTCGAGAATCGACCAAATCGTAACAAGGTACGTCTTTCCCCTCCGTTGTGAGAGTGAATATGTGATTAGGGTTGTGTAGTTAAGAAAAATCGTACTGATAATTATTGAATCTTCTGTTAGAGAAGCTCAGTTCTACGATTATTTTTGTGCTTGGATTGTATGATTTTTTTGCGAAAAAAACATGTTCCATGGTTGTTTCTTTTACATTGTATGATTGTTTCGGATATATGATTTGATATTCCTATAGATAATCTCTGAATTTGAGTTTGAATGTGTGAAAATTTGAAATGTTTTTAATGACCAAATAGTTTTGATAATTTGATTAAATTTTTCATTACGGGTTGGAAAAAAGTTCTGAGATTGAATTGTTTGTTCTGAAGCTCTGCTCTATGGTTCTCTCGTTTAGATAATTAGATTGATTATAAGTGTGCTTGGATTGTATGATTTTTTCGAAAGGAAAAATACATGTTCTATGGTTGCTTCTTTTACATTGTATGATTGTTCTAATAGATAATTACTGAATTTGAGTTTCAAACTGTGAAAATTTGAAATGATTTTAAAATACCAAATTAGAGTTATAGATGTTTAGGTGTTTTAATACAGCCATTGCCGTGGTTATTTGTTAGATAGTTTGAAACTGTAATAAGTTTTGATTAGACATTTCTTGTTTCCGTGGTAACTTGTTAGGTAGATTCTTTGCTGTAATAACTTCTAAAGCCACTACCGTGGTTACTCCTTCCACACCAACCATTTCCATTGATAGCCTTTTAGCTTTGCAATAACTTTCGATTAGACATTTCTTGTTTCCGGTTAGGCATTAACAACAAGTGGTTGCTTAAATATACGTAGCTAGTTTCCCTCTTCTACCATCTCCTTGTAATCTCTTCTCTTTTCTACCATCTCCTCAAAATCTCTTCTCTCTTCTTACTGGTATGGATGGAAGATATCCTCCTACGCAGTCCTCTAGCTACGTAGGACTGTTTTACAGTCAAGAAGGTAGTAGTTTTCAACATGAACACTATCCTTTTGAAAGTTTTCACTCAAGTCTTCAACTCTCAGATTCTGAAAACCCTCCTTTCAGTTCACAACAATCTCAAGGCACACCCGTGGAACGTGTTGTTCGACGCAAATGGACCCCAGCTGATGATGAGGTTCTAATCAGTGCGTGGCTCAACACTTCCAAGGATGCTGTAGTTGGAAATGAGCAGAAGTCGCACACCTTCTGGAAACGTGTTGCTGAGTATTACGCAGCAAGTCCTCACGGAGGAGATGATGGTGAGAAGAGGGAGCATTTTCATTGTAAGAAGAGGTGGCACAGGATTAACGATCATGTTAACAAGTTCTGCGGTGCTTACGCAACATCAGAGAGGCGACTTGGCAGTGGTGAGAGTGACACTGATCTTCTCAAGCAGGCTCATGACATCTTCTATCGTGATTACGGAACCAAGTTCAGTCTCGAGCACGCGTAGTGTGTTTTGAGGTATGAACAGAAATGGGTCAGCCTCAACACTCCAAAAGCGAGTTCAAAGAGGAGAAATGGTGAAACAACAGCTGAAACTTCAACCACCGAGAATGCTGATCATGAGACCCGGCCTGAAGGTATCAAGGCTGCTAAATCAAAAAGGAACACTGGGAATGGGAGGTCTGTTGCTGAGTATACCACCCTTTGGGAACTAAAGAAGGCGGATTTGGACATGAAGGAGAGACTCACTAAGCTTGCCATACTGGATACTCTTCTGGCCAAGACACAACCATTAACTGAGGCAGAAGAGGTTGTGAAGAATAAGCTCCTAGAGCTTCTCTAGAATTATGTTTGTCCTAAAAAATCTCGGTTTCATTATGTCTGTCCTTTAAAATCTCTGTTTCCTTATGCTAGTCCTTTAAAATCTCTGTGTTTTTATGTTTGTTTTAAATCTCTGTTTTATGTTTGTTTGTTTTTAATATGTTTGTCTTATTAATATGTTTGTCTTTGTAATATGTTTGTCTTTATAAAATCTCGGTTTGTCTTTAGAATAACCAAGTCTTATAATAACTACCATTAACATTTACATAACATTTAATTGTATACGTTATACAATGTGCAGGTTAAGAGGAAAATGGGACTTGAGTATAGCTACAGCCAGCCAAGTCAGTCAGAAGACTTATTTGATAACTCTGTAGACAGTGCCTACAGCGAGATAGAAGCTTTAATTCAACGTGACCAGGAGGAGTTAAGCTTACAAAGACGTTCACCGGTTCAGTATCCTCCACAGCCGGAGGTTGAGTTCGGGTTCCCTCAGAAATGCTACTGTGGCTCGCAGCCAGTACTTGCAACATCACACAGTCGGTGGAATGATATTGGTGTGTTTACTCTCACTTCTTATTTACATTTAAAACATAATAGAAAGATAGAAACATAATACATTGGTATGTGCTCACAGGTAGAAGATACTACACTTGTGAGAATGTAAATGATGGGGAGTGTCACGTATGGAAATGGTGGGACGAGGCAGTGATGGAGGAGATGAGAGCCAGAGATAGAGACGTCCTTCTGCTCTCTCAAAAGGTCGACAGTCTTGCTCTTTTGTCTGACTACGAGACTGAGCAGAAGCTGGCCAATTTAGAGAAGATGGTGTGTGATTTAGCAAAGGAAAAATATAAGTGTAGCTATGGGTTTGAGTTCTTTGTTGGGGGAATGGTGCTTCTGTTAGTCTTAATAGGAGTCGTGCTTCTGTTATGGGCTTAGTAGGAATGGTGCTTCTGTTATGGGTTTAGTACGTGTAGTTGTAGTGTAGCTTGTAATGCTGATCAATGACTTGTAGTAGTGTATCTGTTCAATTGCTTTAGTTGTGTCTATGCTTGTCATCCGTGATTTGTATTGCAGTCTGTATTAAACCCGTGACTTGTAATGCAGTAGTTGTGTACCTCTTCTTTGCTTTAGTTGTGTACCTCTTCTTTGCTTTAGTTGTGTCTATGCTTGTCATCCGTGACTTGTCATTGCTTTAGTTGTAATTCACATGTCTTTGTTTGATATCTTTGACAACACCATACTCGTAAACAACAACCATCTTCTATATATAGAGAGTACTTCTCTCTTACCATGAACTACTTCTACTCCTAAAACATATTCTCTCTTTCATTACCTCTCTTTTATAAATTTCAAAACACATTATCTCTTCTTTCATTAACTCTCTTTTATAAAATTTTCAATGGCTTCTTCTTCACATTATCATTACCACAAGGATGATAATGATGAATTGGATTCTACATTTGAAGATTTATTTGAAAACACTGATTTTATTCCTCAACCAAAAACAAGAAAACCACGTATACATATCGAGAGAAACAGGGAAGAAGGCCACACGAAGCTTTGGGAGGATTATTTTTCTGATACACCAACCTACCCGCACAATATATTCCGTAGACGGTTTCGGATGAACAAGAGCTTGTTCTTGCGTATTGTGCATCGTATGTATACAGAAATAGAATACTTTAAAGCGGGAGTAGATGCAACGGGACGGGATAGTCTATCTCCGCTCCAAAAATGTACCGCAGCAATTAGACAATTGGCGTATGGTGGTGGGTCTGATATCGTTGACGAATATGTCCGACTTGCATAAATAACAGCTCGACAATGTTTGCACAATTTTATCGCCGGAATCATCCAATTATTTGGCGACGAATACCTAAGACGTCCCACACCTGACGATCTGCAAAGACTATTACATATTGGAGAACAACGTGGCTTTCAGGGGATGGTTGTAAGCATCGACTGTATGCACTAGGAATGGAAGAATTGTCCGACCGCTTGGAAATGAATGTATTCGCGAGGAACGGATAAACCAACCATTGTCTTGGAGGCCGTAGCTTCGTATGACCTCTGGATATGGCACTCGTTTTTTGGAGCTCCAGGTACTATGAACGACCTTAATATTCTTGATCGATCACCCGTTTTTGACGACATTATTAACGGAGTTGCGCCAGAAGTAAATTTCTATGTTAATGGTAATCCGTACGATTTGGCATATTATCTAACCGATGGTATTTATCCGAAATGGGCCACTTTTATTCAATCTATCCGACTACCACAAGGTCATAAGAATACATTATTTGCTCAAACCCAAGAAGCTGTGCGAAAAGATGTCGAGCGTGCGTTTGGAGTCCTGCAAACTAGATTTGCCGTAGTCCGAAACCCATCTCATTTATGGGATAAAGACAAGATAGCAAATATTATGCGAGCATGTATCATACTCCATAATATGATTGTCGAAGATGAACGATCATTATACACTCAATATGACGTTGATGAATTTCAAGAAAGAGAAGAGGTGGATACATTTTCCGTCAATATGCCTTCAAATCTCGGTAATAGAATTGGTCGTCGAATGAGCGTTCGGAATAGACAATCCCATCACAATTTAAAAAACGATCTGATTGAGAATATATGGGCTAAATTTGGACATCTTCCAAATAACATATAGTTTATAAGTTTTTTTGAATTGAATAAAATGTTTGTTTGCTTTTATTTATTATGATGTTTGAATTTTTTTTTTTTTGTAATTTTCTTATTTCTATATTAATGTTTAATTATCTTTTAATATGTTTTAATTAAAACTTCTATTCTATATATGTCATTACAAATCAACTAAAATAAATAAATTTAATTAACTAAGGGACAAGGTTAAAGTCCCACCAATAACCAAGTCATTTAACAAAAGCCGTTAACTAAATCCCTAAACTTAAAAATAATATTAAAAAATGTTAAGGGCCTTTATCCCCATCCCTCATATAGGCTCCGATTGGTAATGGCTGTAGCTTTAAAATTTTTGCTGTAGAAAAAAATCTGTACACTTTTTTCTGTGACTTTAGATTTTATTGCTGTAGATTTTTTGGAAAGCAATAAAAAATTGTTTTGGATATTTGGCTCTGCAGAGCACTTGTATAGCCGTAGGTTATTTCAAGAGTTGTGGTTTCGAAAAAAAAATTTAAAGCTTGATTGCTCTGAATTTAGTGCTGTAGAAATAAAAAAGGTTGTGGACAGCACCTACAACAACTACCAATAACCCCATAATGTTGCTCTTACGGGATTGTGTAATTAGTCTATTTCTTATTTATTTCTCTTGTGTCAATTGAATGCCTTTTAACCAAAAAAGAAGAGAAAGATCTGTCACTAGAATAACGTTATTTGTGGTGAAGTATTTGCAGTTATCGTACAATCTTTGGTTTTCAACCTTACAAATTTATAATTCAATGTATTGATCACATGTTAATCCGTGTTTAACTATATTGGTTGCCCGGTTTAATCAAGTTATAAAAAGATTGTTTCGGTATAAAAACAGAAGCACAATGTATGTAGTATAGTGTTAAGTGTTAACTTAAAAAATTAAAAAGAAAAAAATAATAATATAGAAGCATTGCAAAAATTAGAAAATGATGGGTAAATAGACTTTTTACGGTTAACCTCATGGGCCGGTCTGAGACGATTCAGGCGAGATGCAAGGAGAAGCAAAGGCGTTCATTTTAGTTATATTTATTATTTTCTTTTTAAAGATTTTTTAATTGTATTTGTCGTGAAAACCACGAGCCACAGGTTTATATTTCTAAATTAAGCAAATTGAAGGCTATACATCCTCTAGTAGACACTTGCTTTAACTTGAATACTAAATTTCGACCCTCATACGCCCAATCAACCACGACTAAATATTTTAAATATAATGAAAGGCCAGTTTTAGATTGTAATTTGTAGCAACAAAATATTAAGATGAAGAATATACAAGTCATCAATAGCTTAGAAAATAATATTATTGACAAAAGATAGAAAAATAACTAGCTATTATTTTGAGAAATACGAAAGCGCGCGAGCTCGGTAAAATCAAGTTGTTTCCTCACCACTACCAGCTTTTTTCATATCAAGGGGTGTAAAATTCGATTTTAAAATTGATATCAAACATGTATTTTCTTACAAAAAAAAATCTTAAACCAAATTCAGGTTAGTCTAGAGACGACTCCACATAAAAATTTACTACGTTAAAAAGTTAAAACAAATATTTACTAGGTTAAAACTTAAAACTTTAGAACGCAACGCTGCGCAGTATCTGCAATGATCAACCGTAGGCAGAGTGGAATTCCAGCCGTGATATCTCATAACCACTACATCAATATATAACTTTTTTGCTAAAACCCAATTTATTTAAATTGGGTTGTTAAATATATGTTTTTGCATAAATATACAATTAAGATAAAAACTTTGAAACAATTGTTTAGTTATTATATTGATTCTTTTTTAAACAACTTAGTTAGCATGTACAAAATATAAATGCCAACCGAGATCAATTGGTAAACGGAACTTGTGATTGTGTGAATACATCGAACTACAGAACAAAATTCTTGACTCAATTAGCTGGTCAAAGGCGTCTACAAAAATTAGATTTAGTGTTTGTTTACAGTCCAAGAAAGCCGTGGAGAGGGGTCAACGCTTTGTTCTATTTTGTTAAACAATGTACAAACTTTACGTCTCAAAAGTCAACACCATTCTCTTGTTGCGTATTGGTCATTTCCTGACCTATACGGTAATCTACTGTTTCTTCTATGATATATTTCTGTTGTATTAAGTATTAAGCCACGCGCAAACTTCATCTTACATTATTAATTAACTATCTATTGATTGAGAGTTTAATACACACTAACTTATACTATTATTACATTTACATGTATCTGTAGTTGAAACTCGTGAAAACGATGTGTGATGTCGGTAGGCTGTTTCAAACAAGCGAGTTCATACTTGCCTTATCAATTTACACAAAGGGGTTGTATCAGTGGCGGAGGCACATGGAGTAAGAGGGGGGCATCTGACCCCAACTCATTTTGAAAATTCTGTGTAAAACATTGACTAATACTACATATGCCCCCATGATTTTAACAAAACTATCTTTAGTTTTATGAACAGATTTAATCATGCCCCCTACAAAACAAAACTCTACCTCCGCCACTGGGTTGTATAGACTACCCTTTAACTATTCACTTTCTCGAAAATTTAACAAATTAATTATTGCAAATGACCAAAATCTCGGTGTTTATTGGATGGTCAGATTTCAACCGGACTCAGCTGGCCAGGTTCTATGTTTTGCTTCAGTTGTATCCTTAGAATACAACCAACACTTTCTTCTTCCTTCATCAACTAGCTAGACCTATGTACATTACATGTTAATCCACTTAATTACCATTGTGTAAACTTAACCGGGTCGTATTTTAAAATTTATACCTCCCCCAAGGTAAGAGATGAGTCTAACATTAAAAGAAGACGATTAGACCAGATAAGATTGTTGCTATCCTATACAATGGAGAGAGAGACTTAAAAAAAATGTTAAGATTGATGGGGCAAAGTAGGGGGACGAAAATACAAAGAAAAAAATGCGCGCCGATTTTAATTTCGTATGGGCAGAAGGAATGTGTGCCGTCTTAGTTTTCCTTTTCATAAAAGTTCACGTCGGTTTGTTGAAACAAAACGTTTTCCTTCTTCTCAGACGTCACGTCGTTTATGATGAGCAGATCCCTTTTCAAGAATCCATCCCTCTTACGGCTCAAATCAAAAATTAGTCTGCCTTAACCTCTTGTCAAAATCATCGATGGATCTGCAGATCGTTGGCCGTCACGCGCTCTTCTTCGACGATGATTCGATGGCAACCTTCGTCAACTCCCCGACGGCGCTCGTTGACTGGAACAGCCTTTTCATTGACCGCTACGATGTTCGTCACCTCCTCTCTTCTCTCCCTCCTCCGCGTCCCAAGCGCCGCCGTCCGATCTCAGACGATCCTAACTTGGATGCTGATCTCGATCACGAGCGTTATCTTGATTTACCGGCGGAGTCTCCATCTCCGTCGCACGATGAGACTGGTAAGGATTGCGATACTTCGTAGGAATCTCTCCGTTTTATCTGTAGATGATTTAGTTAGACTCGATGTAGCTATGTTAGGGACGGTAAACGTTTTAGAGGATGAGTATCAGCTGGTTATTGGATTTGTTTTGCCTTTTCGAGATTGGATTTTTGTTTGCCTGTAGATTGAAAGATTGAGTAACCCTATCGTGTTGAGTGTGTGGGGATAAGAGGTTTACCCGTTGCTACCGACACCAAATTTGCTTCTGCGTATATCTGGTTGTGCATCAATATTTTGTTTTGTGGTAGGTAACTGCGTTACTTAGAACGCTTTTTTATGTGGAGGTTGGATTGTGTATCAGAATATGAGTTCTGAAGCTACTGTTTCATTTCCCATCAGAATCATGTTATTTTAGACATGTATTTGGATACCATTTTGTATGCTTATCTCTGTAATTCATCGTTGATTCTAATTTCTTAGACTTCAATGCTGGCTTGCTTTCTCTAACTAAGTGGGCGTCTTTGTTCGATGAGTGTAAGCAAGTTCTAGGTTGCATATTGATGTTTGCTGGTTCTTCTGATTATTACATTCAATTTTTTCACGGAGTTAAATTATTGCAGATAAAAAAGATAACGTGAAACTAAAAGACTGTTGTTTTAGGGAATAATTTTTTCTTTCATGGTAATTTTAGTTATCTTTGTGCTCCCTTTTCTTCTCTCTTTTATTCCCATCCTGCAGTTGGTATTCAGAAAACTGATCATAATTGTTTTTACTCTTGCACCCCAGATATCAATGATGGTTCAGCAAGTACAAATGCCGATGGCTTTCGTGCTGTACCCTATTCATACGGAAGCTCCAGTGATTTAAATGACCAGAAAACTGCTGATGTGGAATCTGGGTTTCACCCGCCTTTCCACGTGCCTGGTTATTTACTTCAACACCTGGTAAGTTACTGTTTTGGCAGATTGTTTACTTTAGAAATATACGGGCTTTGGTCACTTGTTTGGAACTTTAACTGATATGGCCATGTAAACATCTGAAAGGTGCATATGTTATTCTAAGGTCTACAATCTCTAAGTTTCAGATGCTCGGAGAGAGATGGAGTTGTCTAAGGTTGTCATTCACAGTCACCTTTTTTCCTTTCGCTGCCATGACAAGGGGCAGTGCAGGTGGGATTAATATGATAGAAATTCATGACTTCCCAGTAACCTAAAAAATGAGTGGACATCAGATCATGCATTACATCAGATCATGCATTTCTATACAGTTCTGATATTTGCAATTTGGTTCTCCATACTTACGTGAGATTTCTATATGTATATACATGTGTGTTGCCTTGGTTCATTCCTTTGAAACCATGCATCATGAGATTTCACATTACTAATTGTTTTTTCTGTACATTTTTCTCTTCCTTCTTTCAGCCCCCAAATGAGAAATTACATCAGATCATGACAAGAACTTCCAGTTTTGTAAGCAACCATGGCGGCCAATCTGAAATTGTCTTGAGAGTCAAACAAGGAGGCAACCCAACATTTGGGTTCTTGATGCCAGACCATCATCTTCACCCGTACTTTAGGTTTCTTGTTGAGCATCAAGAGCTTTTGACAGGAAAATCTTCTGTAGGAGATAAAAAAGTTGAAGGTGGGAAAGATAGTGGAGCTTTGTCCTTGCTTGGTTCGGTTTATGGGACTGCAGAAGATGAAGATACTAAAGAAGAGTCAGCAACGGACGGTAAAACAAAGGATTCTGCTGAAGGTGATGAAGCTTATTCCAGTGGACCTGAAGTGTCAAAAGAAGCTGCAAAGATTGCCACTGTGAGAGATGTATCCTCTAAGCATTCTCTTCAAGCATCTTTGATAAAAAGAAATCCTTCTGTCAGCGCTGTTAATGTCGTTGAGAGGAAGCAGATCAATACAGAAGATCATGCTACAGAAAAACCTTCGACTTCTGAAAAGCTGCAGTCTTCTACAATGCTGGCACAACCCAAGCCTGAACTGCAAATTGTGGAGCCGCCTATTGAGATGAAAAGAGCGATCGATAAGATAGTTGACTTCATCCAAAAGAATGGGAAAGAACTCGAGGCTACTCTTGCTGCACAGGATGTTAAGTACGGGATGTTTCCATTCTTACGTCCAGCTAGCTTATACCATGGATATTATCGGAAGGTTCTCCAAGAAGCTGAGGTACTTCTTTTTCAAGTTCCTGCTGCACAATTTATTTGTATTCATGTGCTTTGAAACCTTCTGTTCTTAACTTTCACTAATATTATACTCAACGGCTGTTTTTTTTGCAGTTAAGAGCATGTAATAAAGGCGATTTTACCAAGAAGGAAGACATGAAGCAAGAGAAGATGGTCAGTGCTGTAAAAGATGATAAACCCGCTTTGGGGAGTGACTTACGGGATGATTCTGCTAAGAGAGAGAAACAAAAAATGGTTAGTGACAAGCCAAAGATTGAGTTACAAAAGGAACCATTCAAGCCCGTCGAACCGCAGATGAGGGTCAATGTAGATGCGAATACTGCTGCTGCTATTCTTGAAGCTGCCAGAAGAGGCATAAGGAATCCCCAGTTAGGGATCTTATCAGGCAAACCCTTGGATAAGACTTCTCAGAGCCTTGGAAATGATGGAAGTAATATTTCATCTAAGCCCCCTGATTTGCCTAAATCTACGGGTCAACTGGTTTCTAGCTCGGCAGCTGCTGCTAGTGAAGCTGATTCTTCCGAAGCAGGCTTGTCGAAGGAGCAGAAGTTGAAGGCAGAAAGATTGAAACGTGCAAAAATGTTTGTGGCCATGTTAAAGCCTGGTGCCCAGGCAGCTGAACCATCGCGAAGCTTATCTGTGGAACCGGTGGCTTCTGTATCAGTTTCTAATGCTGCAAAAGAACGAGAAGGTAGCTCACTTCCATCTGAAAGTGAGACGAAACAAGCAGATGATGGTAACAGTGGTGAAAGACGATCAAAGAGAAACTACCGCTCCAGATCACAGAGAGATGCAGATGATGAAATGGGAGAAGAAGAAGAAAACAATGAGGAGAGCAGCATGGAGGAAGTTACAGAAGATACCAAAATTGAGAATAAGCATTCAAGTAGAAAACGGCATGAGAGGCATAAGCATAAGACACGACACTCTTCCAAGGACAGACATTTACGGGACAAGCGCAAGCATGAGAGCTCTTCGGAGGATGAGTATCACAGTCGTTCCCGTCATAGGCACAAACACAGCAAATCTTCAGACAGGCATGAGCTAGATGATTCTTCTGATACCGAGCGTGAGCACCGACACAGATCTAGTAAGCATGACAAAGATGCTGATTATTCCAAGGACAAGCGTAGCCATCGTCACAAATCCAGGAAGCATGATAAGCATCTTGATTCATCTGATGATGAGCATCGCCGACACCACCGACACAGATCCAGTAGACGCAAGCACGAGGACTCTTCCGATAGTGAGCATGGTCATCGAAAGAAGTCTAGTAAACGTATAAAGAAAGATGAGAAAAGAGTGGAAGAGGAGAGTGATTCAAAGTCAGATCAGCCTGATCGAAAAGCTTCTCCTGAACATAACAACATCATGCACCCACAAAACGAACCAGCTCAAGTTTCAGATGAGCTGAGAGCCAAAATACGTGCCATGTTAGCTGATACCTTGTAAGTTCGTTGACCATCATGTAAGACTTTTTGTTCGTATCTACTAGTATCATGATGACAGTGTCCATAGGGTCTGATCAATAATCGTGGGTTTGGAATGGTTTTCAGGTGAAATGGTTAGTGAGCATCTTTTGACAAGCATTAAAGGTAAAAGCGTCGCCTTGGTGTAAAGGTCAGTCTCTTGAGATGCTTGGAAGTAGGGATGAAGTTAAGAGTGAGTTTCTCACTTTTGTTGACGTAAGAAAAGAACTCAACACGCAAGCTTTTTTTCGAAATCTATGATTGTTGTCAATGTTATAGTCCCATTCATTACTTGAAGCTTACCCTTATTGGATGGACCTTACTGAGCCCCTATTCTCAATTGAAAAGGCAAAATATTAGGAAAATCCTTCTTTTTGGGTTCGAATCTCTCTTTATCTTGTTAGATTTCATTTGTTGGTGCTTTGTTGAAGGTGTATTTTCTGCTTTTTGTTTTTTTCTACGTAAAATAAGAGTGAGTTTCTCACTTTTGTCGAAGCAAATCGAGGTAAATTCGAAAGAAATAGTTCAGAAAATAGTCATTACATCAAAGTATACTCTAACAAAAAAAGGTTTAAAGTTGGGGCGCTAACTTGAGATTTGGCGGGAAACAATTATACTTTTGCATAATTAAAGAAGTTTGTTTCCATATTTTCCATGATTAGTTTGTAATAGTATGGCTGTGTTGTAGTAGGGTTGTAAACACATGACACTCCCAACATTGTTCAATTTGCTAAAATGTTGCAAATGATCGAGCAGTTATAAAATGCTAAAATGCTAAAATGTTACACATGACACTCCCAACATTGTTACAAATAATTTGCTAAAATGTTACAAATATATAAACAGTTATATATTGTATATACAAAAATTGTCGCCTTCTCAAAGGCATATGACTATACCATTCGTTTATTAGCTAATGTATAATTTTGTTTGTTTTTGATAAGTGCAGTAATCGTTTGTTTATAGCATGACCAAACTCTTGACAACGCCTTATAACGTGACATTTTTTTTGAACTGTACATAACGTGATATTGCAAAGTTGATGTTGACGTTAGTGTTAGATATACGAAATTCCTAATACTTTGACCCCTTGTCACGTTTCCAAAAACATCGCAACGGAAAAAACATGCACCAAACTACTAATAAAAGTTGCTTTTAACAGAATATGTATGAGAACATACACACAAATCTTTAAAAAAAAAAGAACATACACACAAACAAATTCAAGAACAAGAAACCTTTGCTAATAATGCTATTTAAAACGTAGCGTGATTTTACTTCTCACTTTTCACTTCACGTTTTCAAAACCTTTTTTTCTTCACGCTCCCAGTCACATGGATGAAGCCGCGTTACTTTGTTCCAGCCGTCCATTCCCTACAAAAACAAAAATAGTTGCAATGATTAATAAAGATCTCTTAGCTGATTCACAAAAAAAAAAAGATCTCTTAGCTAGAATTCAAATATTTAATTTTAGTATAGAGATTTAAAAAAAAAAAAAAAACTGATCTGAATCCAACTGTATTCCCTGAGCAAAGTAGAGATGCCAATCAATTTTCTCAACATCTTCTCCTTTCTTTTTCTTTATAGAATCTTTTTACGTAACCCCAACTTGCATTCCAATTAAAGAAATTTCACATAATGATGCTGCACATAACCAAGAATTGATGACACAAACGTATTGATGTAAATTTGCTCCAAAAAAAAGTACTGATGTAAATTTGTGTGAATATGTGAGAATGTATTTTTTGTATATTTCAAAAAGAATAAAAAAATCACAATGAGTCTTATAGAACTGAGACGTGGATTAACTAAAAATTTTAATGTCCTCAACAATAGACTAAACTCCCACGCTAATCCCGCAATTACCTTGAGATTCCGCCACGTGGCCGCATACTCTATTTATAACGTCTTGTTTTCTTAACAAAAAATAAAATAAACTTTTGTATTTTCGTCTTATTGGTGGATCAAAGTCACGGCGCCGTCCACTCTGGCGTCATGCCGTCAAAGCTGTCATCATCCAATCTCTTCCTGCCACGTACTATAATGCACACAATAAGCATCCCCTTTCACCCAATTGGCTCTGCCACACAAAATGTTTTGAGAACCAAATAAAAGAGCCACAAAAAGTAATAGGCTAATTCCAATTTTTTTGTAAATGTTTTTCTCATGTATGTATAACATTAGTGATAAAAAGTTATAGAGTACATTAATTTTTTGGATATTATATCAACAGGGTTTTGTTTTAGATTTCAAATACAATGATAGTAATGACTAATTTAGTATAATCATAATTGGAAATGTATATACAAGATTTTATCCATTAAGAGAGATCAACATGTAAGAAATGCTATATATTCAGATATGGTTCGATCAAACAGAGCTAGAGCATGACTTTTTTCTTCTTTATTAAATACAGCATCACGGAAAGATATTATCTAAATATTATCAAATCTGCCATGAATAGGTATTTCAATGAAATGAATATTGTTTTTAATGAAAGAGATTAACTATATATATATATATATATATCATGAATCTGCCATAAATTAGTATTTTGATGAAGTTAATGTTTTTAGATTTACTGCAAGATTAGTGCATAGTACGTCAAAGAAAAACAAGAGTATAGTCTGTTAAGAAAATAAATGTCATAAATCTTAAAACTTAAATATGCAATTCAAATCCTATTTTTGAATTAAGGATATCGTTATCTTTTAGTTACTTTTTTTACAACACCACATATACCAAACTTATCAATCATAGTCTCTTATCATAAACTTTACAACATTTAATATGTATTTAATGACATTTCTGATGGATAACCGATTGAATATTTGATGGGCAATTATCCATTTCATTTTTGGTTTTAATTTTGTACTTTTGTGCTTGAATTATGTGCCATTCTACCAACCAAAAACAGTTTAACATTTCTTCGACGTGAAAATAAACAACTAATGATGCTTACGAACGTAAATGTAATGTGATTCCAATCTTTGTTATATAACGTCTGCTAATATATTAAAGAACATGATTAAGTCATGACGGTTCGTAAATGGAATAACTTAACCAATGATCAAGTCATATTTTATTCCATTTTTAACGACTGGCATCTTTGAATTCGAAGTTAAACGGCTGTATCAGATCTAAAGATAAGAATAATTAATCTAAAAATTAAAAGTGAAAGATAAGGTAAAGTTTTTGTGCTTAATAATTGGAGGAGAAGAATAAAAGTTTTAAAGAAAGAATATAATCTCTGTACAGACTTTGAATTAAGACACACCATAAACCCCATGCCAAAGGTCATTTACATTCACATATATACACAACTATGACTTGTGTTATGTCATGTGTCTGTATATATATAAAACAATCACATCAAAACTATTTGCTTAAACATTTAAAACCCCTCTCTCTCTCTATACAACTCTATCTCCTCTGTTTTTTTCTTGCTCTGTTTCAATGGAGGAACAAAACTGGATAAGAGGACCTATCATCGGTCGAGGCTCAACCGCTACAGTCTCACTAGCAATCACAAACTCCGGTGAACTCTTCGCCGTCAAATCCGCTGAGTTTTCTTCATCGGCGTTTCTGCAGAGAGAAGAGTCGTTTTTATCGAGTTTAAGCTCTCCTTACGTAGTCAAGTACATTGGGTCTAACTCAACGACAGAGAACGATACACTGACGTATAATCTCCTGATGGATTATGTTTCCGGTGGGAGCCTTCACGATTTGATCAAGAACTCCGGCGGGGAATTGCCGGAGCCGGCGATTAGATCCTACACGCGTCAGATATTGAAAGGTTTGAAGTATCTTCACTGTCTAGGGATTGTTCATTGCGATTTGAAGAGCCAGAATGTTATGATCGGAGGAGAAACAGCGAAGATCGTCGATTTGGGCTGCGCTAAAATGGCGGGAAACGGGAGTTTGGAATTTTCCGGTACACCGGCGTTTATGTCGCCGGAGGTGGCGCGTGGTGAAGAACAGAGTTTTCCGGCTGATGTGTGGGCTTTGGGGTGTATGGTGATAGAGATGGCGACAGGGTCAAGTCCTTGGCCGGAGTTAAACGACGTCGTCGCTGCGGTTTACAAGATTGGTTTCACCGGTGAGACGCCGGAGATACCGGAGTGTTTGTCGGAGAAAGGTAAAGACTTTTTGAGGAAGTGTCTGAGAAGAGATCCGAAACAGAGATGGGTTGTTGAAGAGTTGCTTCAACACCCGTTTCTCGAGGGAGAAGAGGAAGAGGACCAAACTCAAACTCAGTCTATGTCTTGTCTGAATACTTCTTCTCCTAGTACTGTGTTGGATCAAGGTTTCTGGGATTCATGTGAAACCTCGAGAGGTCGATTAGTCCAAGAAGATCACGAAGACCCATTTGCAAATTATTCGACTTTATTGGTCTCTTCACCGGCTGATCGAATCAAGAAACTGGTCGGAGATGAGAATTCCGGCGAACCGGTGAGGATTACGGCGGAGGATGGTTGGATTGAAGTTAGAAGCAACGGAGAGGTAGAGAAACGTAATGAAGACGATGACGAAGATGTGAATAGCGTTGAAGCAACGTCATGGGAGGAAGGCGAAGTGGGAAGATATGAGAATTGGATCTTGGATCAAGAAGACAGCTTCTTCTTGGAATATTCTTCCACTGAGAATAACAATTTTTATATTTACTCTAGTAACCTCCTTGAAGAGGATAATGTAATTCTTTATTATCATGATCATCTTGAAGATTGTTTTGTTCAAGTTCTTGATCTGTTAATAATAATAAGAATCATTTCTTTAGCCACGTTGCGATTTTACAAGTTTCTTTTTAAATCAAAATCCATGACAATAACAATACCAAAAACACCTCCTTTCTTCTCCCTCGACTCTTTCATCTAAAAAAAAGAAAAATCAGTGTTTGCCTCCGGCGCGTCTCTGCGTGCGGTCGTCGGAAGACTTTTCCTCCCCTTTTTATCTCCTTTTCTCTTTGTGTTTTTCCTCTCTTTCTCTTTACTGTTTGTAGATATACTAGTTTTTGTGGAAAGTTAGTCAGATCCGGGTTTTTAGGCCGCAGTTTGTGCTGCCATCTGGAGAATCTCCGAGGCACGGTGATTTAGGGGTGGGAAGGAGTCGATTTTTAGGGTTTGAACCGCGGCGGATCTATTTTTAATTTTTAGATCTCGTTTTTGGTTCGATGCTGTGATGGCGCGTGATGGTGTTGGAGGCTCTCTCCTTGAGCTTCATAGGTTACTTCAGTCTTTTTTGGCATAGACTAAGCGACGACGGTCGTGTGGAGTGGTTTTGCTCGGCGTGCTGGACTCTAAGGCTCGGTGTCTTGTCTTCGGCTCTGAATCTGCTGGCGGCTCGACAGTGACTCCATGGTGTGGAGGCATGTTTCCTCGTGGTCTCTGTGGCTGTGTGGTCGTGGGTTCACAGGGTTTCTGCGCGTGTTGTTCTTGTGGTGGGGGAGACGATGTCGTCTATGGCAGATTATCCCATCTCCTCTGAGATTTCTCCATGTCTGTCTCTTACCTTCATGAATCATCGTCATGTTCTCAAGTCTGTTGGCTTCGAGTTTTTGCTTCCATTCTGCTGCTTTGTCTCCTCCTTGTTCCCCAACAAACGGAGCTTACCGGCATGTAGAAGACTGGAGTTGGGTTCTCCAATCCAGGCTGGAGCGTATGGAAGTGTTGTCGGGTCTGTCTGCTCGGCTTCTTCCAACGAGGGGATCCGGTGGGAGGGCAGTCATACCAGTGTTTTGGTGGCTTATTGGCTGCTGGAATAGACTATCCCTCTTCTTCTATATGGAATTGGAAGCCTTGATGTTTGGTTTGTCGTCATAGCATCTCGTTTTTGGTTGTTCTTACTTGTTGACTACAGGTTGGCGGATACGAGCACCAGCGTCTAGTGGTTGGCCAATGGAGCTCGAGGCTATGGTAGCACTACTTAGTCCTTCCTCTGATTGATAATCGCTTAAGGTCAGTGTGTAAGCAAGCTTGGTGAGATCGTCATTAGCCAGCTACTCTTGTGATGACACGCAAAGACCGGCATCCGAGGCAATGAGGTAAACCTCGTCCTTTGCAGTGGTTACCATCATAGGCTGAGAACGGTTATAGATAATATAAGGATCTCGGAGCACTCTAGCCGAATGTGTTGGTTTGGCGGGCGAACGAAGTGAAAAGTGTAATGTTTTGAATTAGATAATTTTGTTCGATCCGAGCTTGTAAACATCACTTGAATTCCGGTTTTCGAGTTGTTAATAAAAAAAAAAAAAAAAAAAACTATAGTGGCAATTTTATAGACATTAAGAAAAAAAATGTTAAGGTTTGACGATAGTTATTGTTGACAATAATAGGCGATTATGTCATCACTTATGACTTATCATCACTTACTGATCCATTGTTACATTGAATGATTTGGTTCCATATTGAGCTGATCGTTGTGATCAGCAACAACAGCAAAGGAAACACACTACGATGGATGAAAATAAAGTAGAGTTGAAAGTAAAAGTAACTCTAATGAATTGTGGGGAATACCAAAACAAAAAAAAACGAGATGCATATGTCGCTAATTTTTCGTTTTGCTCCTTGCTGTTTGCCACAACCATAGGAAAAAAAACAAGCTGGCATTTTTTCACAGGTGCTGTGGTGATAAAGTTAATTTCCTGTCGCTGCTGCTCCTCGCATCGTCATGAAAAGAACATGGCGATAGTCAGGTAGATTCTATTTAACCAATGTAAACTAGATGATCATTTCATACTATTAAAATTACAATTTTCATTTATAAATTAACATGTGTGTTGTCGTATAATTTTGCTTCTAGACAAAAATAAATAGTTGTTATAAAAGGAATGATTTTTGGATGATGAATTCAACCTACTAACAATTATAATCATGAGCGACAGAAATTTACATCTACGGCCATTAACTGTGTAGTTTGATTTATCTTCAGACATACAAAAGATTTCTCAGAAAGAAAATAAGCGATAACAGTGAAGGTGCTATAGTCAACTGCAAAGTCAGATGATAAATTCAAACTACTTATGATGTACTAGACAACTTTTAAGCTCCCATTACTTGTATTATCTGTGAGCTTAAGGTTTATAGAGAAGTATCATATGGTAATTTACTTGTAACTGGGGTAATATACAGGAGAAAGTCGTCGTCGGTTGATATGTGTTTCTCGTAAGAAAGCTAAGAGCATCTCCAATCCCACTCCATATTTTACTGCAAAATGGAATGGAGAATGGAGTAATGAAGAAACAAAAATCTCATTACTCTATATTTGGAGTAATCACTTTTTTTTGTTTCTTCATCACTCCATTTCCTACTCCATTTTGCAGTAAATTATGAAGTGGGGTTGGAGATGCTACGGATACCTCCACTATACACAATGAGGTTGACTTTATACAAAGTCCTCTTATTTTAGTATAACATTGACTTTTAAATAATAAATAAATTTGGTACTTTTTTTTAAACAGAAAAGATTTGGTAAATAGACTATTTGGTGACACATTGATTATCTTCAATGTAATGGAAGGGTGACTCTACTTCGATGTCAAAATGACATCATGCATCAAAGACATCTTTTATACTTACAAAAAATACATTTCTCTCTCTCCCTCTATATATGTCTCTCCCTCTATATATGTATATGTATCCTAGACTCGTAGTGATAAACATATGATGATAATCCAAGCTGGCTTATTATCAGGTAACCAATTTGTAAGCTCCCACTTCATGCATTATCTGTTAACTTAAGGTTTATAAAAATCATATGATCATTTACTTGCAATATCAGTCAAACAAAAAATTACTTGCAGCCACTTATTTTAATATGGTCTAACATTTATCTATTATTTTAACTCTTTTTTTTTTTTTTTTTGTTCAAATTATTTTAACTCTTTTTAAGTTTACCAAAACCTCAAAAGAAGTTTCATTCAAATGTGAAAGCGTAAGACTTTTCTGGGGTTCATAACCAGTGTTGCCATTTACTTTCTACACAAAAGTTTGGTATTACTTGACCAGGTTCATTCATGTTGACTTTTTCTCTATTTGCATGCCTTTCATTAGTTATATAATTAAAAATACCATAAGTCGTCCCAAGTTAGCTTTTTCTTGTTTCATTTAAACAATCGAGAAAAGTAGTTTGTTCTTTGTTGTTTTTTACCATTTAAAATTGTATCACATTTTAGATAAATTAGAAATCTCGTAAGTTGACAAAAATCTCGTAGACAAAAACACCAATCGAATGTTTTCATTTCAAAGAATATTATAACTGGAAAGTAATCACACATTTGATGCGCAACTATCTTAATCAAACACCGTACAAGCAAATAAACTATCTAAAAGAAGTAGGTCTAACTGTCCCACTTAATGTCCAAAAGGTTGATGGTCAATCGGTAATGAAAAATGATTATACATCGACGCCAAAATGATCTCATGCATCAGAGTCAAATACATCTTAATATATATGAGAGAAAGTCAAAACTTATCAACTTTTTATGATAAAAACTAACTCGATAGCTACTTGAAGCTTAGTTTTTGGTATCAGAAAAAAAAATTCAATACCAATGTAATACAAAGTATAAAACAGTGAATCTTTCAAAAAAAAAGATATTAAAAGGGACATTATTATGCATACAAGAAATTAAACAAGCTTATCGACAGTGTATAACTTTCTCGATAGTATATAAGTTTGTAAATCGATAGTATATAAGTTACGTACATATATATTGCCATGATTCGATCAACTGACCAAATGATATCGTTAATTGCTGGATTATGATTGGATGAGCTAGCTAGAATTGTATGGATTCTTTTCACTACGATGTTCACATCATTGTAGATTTTTATAAAGAATGATTAGCTTTCTGATCCAGCAAATCTTATTCAAATTTTAACCACATAGTTAGTCTAGTGATAGGTGAATTCTAATAAACTAAGATATCAAGTTCGAAGCAAACCTACCACACTAAAACTGTCTCCAATAATGCTTCATTTTTTACTTTTTTTTTTTGTTTTATTTTAAGTCTATTTTTATTACAATGTTTTTTCATATCTTGTTTCAAAATGAAGCAATGAACAATATTGTTTCAGAAATAATACTGTTCATTACTTCATTTTTGAAACTGAATTTTCTAAATTATTAAATTGTTCCTTAACTTTTATTTGTTCTTATTTTTTATAAAATAAACTATATTAATCAATATTACCTAATTAATTTCTAATATTTCTTTATTATAATAATTAAATGAAAGATAACACTATATAGTTATTGTAAAAGTGAAATATACTACTCAATTTCTTTACATACTCTAAATTTCTTCTCTTAACATGAATAATAATTTTTCAAATTCACTACATTTGGATTTTTTTTTATAAGAGCATCTCCAAAAGACTCTCTATAACTTCAAATATAGAGTTTTTAACTCTCCAAAAAGAAACTTCAAAACTTCAAATTTGAAGTTTCATCTTTTTATTTGCAATTTGGTCCTTATATTTACATATCTTATTTATGATTCTTAAATATTTTCTTATTTATCATTTTAATCTTTAAAAACATTATATCTTACAAATCTTCAAGTTTATTTCTATAAATTAAGATTTACACATAAGATTAAATAAAAAAAATAAAATAAAATTTATATTATTTTAAAAGTAAAAGTAGACAACAAAAATAGTACAAAACAAACTTAATTAAAATTATTTTTTTAAAAAGGTACATGAAAACATAATTATTATAGAAATTTAAATATTACAACAACACTAATAATCTGGTAAATCTCCCCCGGAAGCTCCAAAATCTTCAAATCCAAACAAGTTTTTTGTAACCGAAGATGGTTGTTCTTGTTGTTCTTGACGTCTTTTACGTATGATTCTTTCTTGTTCAGAACGAATGTACTCACGAGTATTAATATCACCGATAGAAGCTAAGTTTTTTAGCAATATTTTATTTTCCTCTTTTACTTCTTTTAAAGCTAACTTTCTTTCTTCATTTTTCATTCGTAATTCAATCATCTCATGATTTTTATCCCTGCTTGTTGCACTTTCTTTTAAAAAAATCAAGGATTTGTTCATTGGATGATATCAAAGTATCAACCACCATATTATTACCTTCCGTAGCCTTCCTTTTGAGTTTTGCTTTCTTTGATCCAATAGGACGGGAACTTGATCCGCCATCATCACTACTTAAATTGATTGAAAATGAAGGCATTTTCGGAGATTGTGATGTCGGAGAGCCGAAAGTATTGCTCTCTGTGTTAAGAGTATATGGGATAGATATGTTGACATTGCTTGTAAACTTTGGAACATCCTTCATCATTACCCACACATGATCAAACTTAAAACCTTTTTTTCAGTTTTGGATCTTATAGCAAAAGTTTCTTAACCTTCTCCATCTACAAAGTAATAAAACATAAAAATTGGTTAATTACAAAATAAATATCAGATATATATAGAGTAAAAACAAATACTTACAATGTCAAATTCAGATGCACCACTAGGATGCATATTCTCCACTTGTGTTATGCAGCTCTTTAAATTTCTAATAGCGTATGTAATAGTATTCATTCTACTTTGTAGAGATCTTGTGCTTCTACTTTCCCAACTCTCATTTTTTTTTCATTGTAACTCTTACCTATTTTTTCCCACAATTTCCCAAGAGATTGGTTATTGCTACCAATGGGATCTTGCAATATTTCTAAATACACACAACATAAGAGCTCATCTTCTTGTTGATTGAATGATGAGCCTCTACTTTTCTCTATATTTTTTTTTTAGAAAGAAAGGAAAAGATTAGAGTTGTGAATTTCTTATTGCTTGAAGTCTATTATTTATACACAACAATGGTTCAATAATAATTTAAATGAATAAACATAAATTGATTCCATTGGTGAGAGAGTAAGGTCCAATGCATGATAAAAAAATTAATCTTTTCCAAATTCTTTTGTAATATTTTCAAGATTCAAATATTGGTTAGATAGTGAGGTCCAATGCATGGTAAATATTGATATTTTCAAAATTTCAAAGATTGGTGAGATGGTGAGGGCCAATGCATGATATACATTGTCCAATAATAATGTATGATAAGGATTGGTGAGAGGGTAAGGTCCAATGCATGACACAAATTGATTCTTTCCAGATTTTATTATTTTAAATATTAATATGTAGATGTGTCCTTATAAATAGACATGAATTACAGCAAGTATCACATCACCACAACTTACCTAAAATGAATTTTAATATTGGAAGTTCTTCTTGTCTTGTAAACTCTTCTTCCTCTTCTTCCTCTTCCTCTTCTGAGTCATCTGAAATTGATGAATGGCTAAAAGATGACAATGCAGCAAGAGAGATTGAAGAACAAATTGCAACCAATTTGTTAGCACAAAACAACTTTCTCATTCACTAGTTCACCCAACAAAGCGATCGCATAAGTCATCGAGGATCTATTCATGGCCATGCAGTTATACATCGTGATAGAGAAAATGCTCATTCTAATTTGTATAATGATTATTTTTTCTAATAATCCCGTGTATGGCAAAAGAGAGTTCTATCGTCGGTTTCGAATGTCACGAGAGTTATTTCTTCGCATTGTTGATGCTGTTACAAAACATGACAGCTACTTCCATCAAAGACGTATTGCATTTGGTAGAATGGGTCTATCAACTTTGAAAAAAGTTACTGCTGCAATTCGAATTTTGGCGTATGGTGTGCCAGCTGATGCTACACATGAGTACATCAAAATAGGAGAGTCTACTGCCATTGAATGCATAAAGAGGTTTTGCCGAGCAATTGTGGAAGTGTTTTCGGAGTGGTATCTCAGGTCACCAACATCAGAAGACGTTGCAAGGCTTCTCAGTGTTGGCCAACAACGTGGATTCCCTGGAATGTTGGGTAGTCTGGATTGTATGCATTGGAAGTGGAAAAATTGTTCAACTGCATGGGCGGGACAATTTGCATGCCGTAGCGGATCAGCACTATCATTCTCGAAGCACTTGCAGATTACGACTTATGGATATGGCATGCCTATTTTGGTATGCCCGGTAGCAACAATGACATTAATGTCTTGAAGTCATCCAATTTATTTTCAAAGCTTGCTCAAGGTATCGCTCCTCCAGCTAATTACGTTATTCAGGGAAACGAATATAACATGGGTTATTATTTAGCTGATGAAATTTATCCAAAATGGTCAACTCTTGTTCAAACAATAAGCAATCCCCAAGGTCCAAAGAAAAAATAGTTTGCAGCAAAACAAGAAGCATGTCGAAAAGATGTTGAACGTGCATTTGGAGTCTTGCAGTCCAAGTTTGCTATCATAGCAGGATCATCTCGTTACTGGAAGAAAGAGGTACTGCATGATATAATGACGGTATGCATTATAATGCATAACATGATAATTGAGGATGAACGTGATATTAATGCGCCGATAAAAGATACAAGATCAGTGGCAGAAGCAACTGTTGATATGGCGGAAAATGAAGATATCCGTTTTCAACAATTTTTAGCTCGTAATCTACAGATTAAAAATAAAGAGAGTCATTTCATACTTCGAAATGCATTAGTTGATCACATATGGGAGCATTACGGAAATAATTTAATGGAATAATGTGATATTTTGTTTGTATTTTAATATTTAATTATATATTTCTATTTTTAGTTTTATATTTTCATGTAAACTTTTATCAATTAATATTGTTGTAATATTTTTATATATGTGTTTGCTATTTATCAAAATTTTATGGATTTTCATTAATTGTAATCAATATAAGGACCATAATGTAATATACAAATAATTTTGAAGTTAGTTTTAAAGTTTTTCTTTTGGAGAATAACAGTTTGAAACTTCAAATATAGAGTTTGTGAAACTTCAAAATAGAGTTCCTTTTTGGAGATGCTCTAAAACCTAGTATTGTTACTCTTCATTAGTTCATTTATGGTATGTGTAATAATTTTATTATATGATAATGTTGAAGTTATAACAATAGTGTCAGATTATTGTTAAAACAAAATAGTTAGCGTAAAATTAGTAAATATGAAAAAGTATAGGATGTTATTAATAATTAATGATAAAATATAGATAGAACATATTTAAAATATTCTTTTTATAAGAAAGAAATGAAACAAATCATTGGAAAAGATGTGCTTCATTTTGAATAAAGTAAACTTCTGAAGCAAAAAATAAAGTCAATCATTGGAGATACCTTAAATATGTGTGATAATACGAAGAATGAAGTGAGAGCCCCATTTGAAATCCGAAAATAGCAATCTGCTGGGTTATATTTTTCTTTGAAGATTAGTTTGGATCCAAGAGCAGTATTAACCCAATACCCTACTAGGAAGTGCTTATTTTTTTTATTTTTTATTTATTTTCGTCCGATTAAAACAAATTAAAATATAAACGAATTGCGGACTGCCACATGTTAGTGGGATTCACGCACAATACAAGCAACAGCAAAAGAAAGCGCTTGTTTGGCAACCAAAAGCGTCGGTTGTTAGGAATTTGGTGGGCTCCTGAGAGCTAAACACCCCCATTTTCTATGTGTTGATGTTGCTCTAAGATCCGTTATACCTTCAGGCTAATTAAAAAAAAATCCTTTTGCTTTTATGATAGAGACCCTAGTAATATTCACCATTTCTTTGAAGCTTTGCCTTTTGTACAGTATAGATTTACAAAATTATAAACAATTCAACGAAGACATTTCCCCTAATTGCATGACTTCTTATTTTCTCAAATGCATAAGAAAATCTATCACACCAGAGGCCAAATATTTTATCAGAACAATTTGTAAATGACTTAAATATAAAATTAGTGTAACAAAGAAAAGACATAGATAATGTACAAGATGGACTTTAGAAAAGGTGGAAGTGCTGTCTGTGGTCGGCACACACTC